TAGAATGGAGGATTCAAAACGCGTCGGAACACCTATGTACACGTCTACCAAGTTTGATAAGGATGAAGAAGGTACAAAAGTTGATGAAAAGAAGTATAGAGGTATGATTGGTAGTTTGCTTTACTTAACTGCTAGTAGACCAGATATCATGTTTGTTGTGTGCTTATGTGCTCGTTTTCAATCTTGTCCAAAGAAATCTCATTTAAATGCAGTAAAAAGAATTCTTAGATATCTAAAAGGAATCTTGAATTTTGGTCTATGGTGTCCTAAGTGTCATGAACTTCCTTTGTGTGGATTCTCTGATACTGACTTCAGAGGTTGTAGGATTGATAGAAAAAGTACAACAGGTATATGTAACTTTCTTGAAAATTGCTTAGTATCCTGATTTAGCACGAAACAAAATGCTATTTCATTATCTACAACTGAAGCTGAATATGTTGCCGCTGGAGCTTGTTGTGCTCAATTATTGTAGATGAAAAACACATTGAATGATTTTGGATTGATGTATGATTGTGTGCCTATATATTGTGATAACACTAGTGTAATAAATTTGACAAAAAATCCCATCCAACATTCTAGGACAAAGCACATAAACATAAAGCGTCATTTCATTCGTGATCTTGTCCATAAGGGTGAATTTTGTGTTCAATATGTCTGTTCAAAAGATCAAATTACTGATATTCTCACAAAAGCCTTACCACTGGATCAATTTGTATTTTTTAGAACAAAATTGGGCGTTTCAAAAAAATTCTCTAAAAATTCTCTGGTCACTCTTTATCGGACGTCTGATGCGTTAGAACGGAAGTCCGATAGTGTTCTTGATCATTTACCCAGAAATTTTTGGTTCGGACGGAGATGACGGACGCTCTACTTCGTTCGGCCATCCGACACTCAAAAATTGCATCTTATAAGGAAGCCCTCTGCGTTATTCAGTTCATTCTCACCCTTTTGTCTCGGACGCAACTCTTCATATTCCCTCAATTTCAAAATTCAAATTCATCTCTTCTCGGAACAAGTACCAAGAAATCACTCTGACTGACACCTTCACATACCTATTGCGAGTTTATTATGCATATAACTTCCCCCAACCGCCAACTGCACTATAAATCCCAATTCTTACCCAAAACCCTAACCACAAAAATTTCTCCCTCTGTGGACAGTTCGTGCATCCACTGTAGTTCATACTGCACTCCTCATCGTTTGATACTTATTTGTATCACATTACACAACAAAATTACACTGCATTGCAACCATGGTGAGGATTAGAGGAGGATCCGTGAGTGCCGAACGCACCTTCAAGCTTCGTGATGAGGAGGATGAAGATTTTCAAGTTATCGAACCTTCCATCAAATCACCCAAAAAAAAACTGAACATCGTGGTGAAACAACGAAGCAATTTGCAAGGAAAAAGCAGAATGCGCAAACCAGAGAGCCATATGTTGAACCATCCGATGAGCAGATGGAGAAGCATCAATCTGAAGGGCATCCAGTAAGTGGCAATAAAGAGGAACTGGAGCAGCCTACCAATGTAGATGTAACCACCATGAAATCACCCAGGAAAGGAAAAATGACTGCCAAAAGGAAGAGCATTGCTCAACCTAAGGGAAGGCAAACTGCTGATCCCTCTGGGAAACAGTAGGATGCAGAGAAAAATGCTGAGGAACAGCAGACTAATGAACTATCTACCAAGAAGTCACCAAGGACAAGGTCTGATGTCCAGGGTACTGCACCAACTACTCAGCGCAGTGGAAAAAGAAAGCATCCAGAAAATGAATAACCAGAGACACAACTACTGTTGAACCAACTCCTCTGCCCAAGTTCATCTATGATGAAGCCAGGGAGAGCTTTGAATGGATCTCGTAGAAAGGCTTCATCACTCAAAGGACCATCATTCCCTACGAATTCCGTAAGCTTAATCTTGATTTTGTTCTCAACCTTTTTGAATTTCAAAAATGGACCCATCTTTTGACCATTCCAAACACTTACTATCCTGATATGCTTCATCAATTTTTTGCAAACCTTAGAAAGCGTAAATCACATACTTATCTCATTTCATGTGTCAATTCTGTTAACATAGAACTGAATTCTGAAATTGTCAACTCTGTTTTAGAAACCAAAATTGAAGATGGTTTTAAAGGCAAAATTGCAAATTTCTTTTCTTATGAAGAATTTTCCTCTGTATACCATCACTTTCATGTTGTAAAATTGATGACCTATTTTCAGTCTCACTTTAATACATACAGATACACCCAAAATATCGAAACTCATTGCCCATGGATAAAGAAAAACTGTTTCAACATCAAAAACAACAAAAACTAGAGCAAACATATAATAACGGATTCAAAATTGTAACCAAGCATCGCCTATTCGTTCTATACCCAATTCATAACTAGAGAGTTTCTCCGGCCCTTTGCTAATCAGGGCTAAAATTTCGGAAATTAAAAATGCCAAAATAGGAATAAGACTTGATATTATTAGAAATGTCAAAAAAATATCATATTCTTGCTAAGGCAAGATTGGAAGATCTTAGTGCTCAAAACCTGATCATTTTTCAAATCTGTTGGTGCCCATTGATGGTCAAAGAACTGATGCAAACAAAATGGAACTTTATCTGTTCTACTGTTTTCTTGAAAAAATCCGAATTGATTTTGATTTTGTCATGTGTAAATTTCTGCTCAAAATCAGCACTGACAGCCGTAGGAAACTGTCCTATGGAAAATTTCTGACTCCTATTTTTGCTCATTTTGAAATCCCCTTTACTTGCAAATCTCCAAAAGAGAGTGCATCAACTATGTTTTCAAAGGCTTATTTTGAAAAAAAAAATCTGAAATTTTTTGAGGGTCATTGGTGCTACAAAGAAACTGTCTCTGAGTTTAGGAGAAAAAATTTTCATGAAACTCCTGTAACCCCTAGGACTCCTCGAGACTAGTCTATGTATGTGACACCCTTCACCATTCATTCTAGAAGGTCAGCCTCTATGCATACTTCATCCAACCTTGAGGTCATCTCTCTGCTTGATGACCTCAAACAACATATCCTACTTCTTGAAGATGGCTTGATGATGACCATGACTTCTGAACAATAAGCCACCTTCGTTGCCAAAAGAAATCTGCTTGTATCTCCCATTCCTCCAGAAAATGAAAATGTACACCGAAAGGAGCCTAGAACTGAGCCAACCACTAAGACTACCCCAGAATACCGTGCCTCCAGTTCTCAACCACAGGACAAGGGAAAAGCTTCGGCAATTGAAGAAGAGACTGAAGAGGATGATGATGATGAGGATGAGGACACTGAGGAAGAAGACCCTACCCAGTTTTGCCTGGTTAGAAGAAGACCTAGATCCTCTAAGATCACCATATAGGCACTACTAGCCTACTGCACTTCATGATTAGGATAATAGTTCATAGTAGGTTTTTGCATCTTTTGCACATAAAAAACATTTGGTGTGTTCTATCTTAAAGATTTTACTCCTCTACTGGTCTGTAAAACTATTTAGTTATCCTTTATGTTGAATGTTGCTTATTTCAGTTTATCTGCAAATATTAGTTTTTGGTTGATAATGTTTTGGTTTTGGTTCTGGATGGATAGTGTTGTTGTGTTCTGCCATATTAGTTTCAATTTGTTTTACTGTTTTGCTAAATTCAGCTTGGATATGTTTTGCTGATAATACCTAGTGATAATATTGGTAAGGCAATGAACGACCACATTGTTGGTTATATGGATAATTTTACTGGTTGATTCAATGATGACAAAAAGGGGAAGAATATAGATATGTAATCTATATGTGAGAGGGAGTCATTTTAAGGGGGAGTTGTGAATAATCATGAGTGGACATTATTCTGAAGGGAAGTTGTGTATACTCCTTGAATGCATTAAGTCAGGGGGAACTGTACCTAAAACCTTTTTTACTCCATCCATTGTTTTGTCATCATAAAAAATGGGGAGATTGTTTATCTCAATCCGTAACTTTTGATGATTACAAAAAATGGATGGTACTAATATTCTCTGATTAGATCCTTTCAGAATTGTAACAGAATAGGTTCAAAGGCTAACATGTGCTGAAACAGCTGTTGGACGTACATAAAGACTGCATCGGCCGTCCGACAACCATTGAGTAACTTCAGACGCATGAAGAACCCACTTTCGGACATACAACACCTGAGTACCGAATGTCCGATAAACGCTGTGATACTTCGGACGCAAAACATTAGAGGCACCGAATGTCCGAACAAATTAAAGGAGAATCCCCAGTTTTACATCATGCCTTCGGACGCATATTCTAGAGGTACCGAACGTCCTAAACATTTCAACAAAATTTCTTGAACTCACTGCCTGTGTTCGGACGCAGAAAACTAGCCTACCGGACGCCCGACACCACCAACAGCTAGTTGACTCTTCAGTTGCATTCTATTCGTTGGTAGCATTAATTGAAGAATTTTTTGGTCTCTTATAAAAAGGAAAAAGTCAACCACTTCAAACAACTTTCGCACATCGAAACTACATCAGATCTTGAGTGATTCAAGTATGAGAATACTCTTTAAAGAAGATTTGTACTCTTAGTTATGGAACTTTCAATAAGCTTTTCAAGTGTGTTTCTATTTCTTCAATAGTGTAGCTTTGTGAGAGTTATCCGAGTGATAGCAAAACTTCCTTACTTGACCAAGTGCGGCTTGGAGCGAGAAGGAAGTAATCCTTCCTTTGTACACAAGAGATTGGTTGTAAGTTGATCAACTTGAAGAAGCTTGCTATATAAAGTGGTATTCAAACTCAAGTAGAATTTGAAACTTGGTTTGCTATTATATCCTTTTACTTATTGTCTTCCAATACAAATTGTCTATTTCTTCTACTCCCAAGCACTTGTGCTTCCTCATCAATTGCTCCATTGTGTGGTCCTTTTTAAAAAGAAGGCAATTTCTAAAAAAGTGACTCATATCTTGGCCAGTTTTTAAACCACCTAATTCACCCCCCTCTTAGGTTGTCTTCGATCCTTACAGAAGAACCTCACAAAAAGTTTGAGCAGACCTTTTTGACAACTTTGAAGACAGAGATTGGCAACACAACAGCGGATAGGAGGTGAATTGGAATAGATGAAAGCACATGCTTTATTAAAACCATCCTTCCCCCAGAAGATAGAAACTTTGACTTCCAGGAAAGAATTCTTCCAGTAATAGCTTGACACGCTTCCCTAAAATAAGATGATTTACATCTTCCAATATACAAAGGAAATCCTAGATACTTAACCAAAAAGTGCTGTGTGGAAGAGCTAGTTATGCGTTGAATCACCTTTCGGTGAGCTGGTGATGTTGATGGATGCATTAAATATCCACACTTCTGGGCATTTACCAATTGGCCAAATGTTTTCTGATATAACTCCAGCACCTGCATAATGTTCTTTAAGGAAGTAGAGGAACCATTCACAAAAATAATCACATCATCAGCAAAGGCCAGGTGAATTACAGGAGGGCACCCCTTGGTACTTTGAACCCCATAAAGCCAAACTATGAAATAAGACTATTGAGTCCTCTCGAAATGACCACAGCCCCAATAACAAACAAGACTGGTGATAGTGGATCACCCTGACGAAGACCTCTACTAGATTTCAAAAAACCATATGATGCTCCATTAATAATGGCTGAGAACCAAACAATAGAAACCAATCTCTACACCATGTCAATGAACCGTTCCCCAAACCCAAATTTATACAAGACATTGACAATGAATAAATAGGATACCCGATCATAAGCCTTTGACATGTCCAACTTTAAAGCTACATTGCCCTCTCTAGCTTTTTTCCCAATCCCCGACATAATCTCCTAGGCAAGCAAATAATTTTCTGTTATATTTTGGTCCTTAACGAAGCTAGTCTGCTACAAAGACACAACTTGCGGCAAAATAACTGCTACACTATCAACCAAAATTCTAAACAAAACTTTATTTAAAAAAATTATATAGACTAATCGGCCGGAACTAAGAAAAATCCTAAGGATTCGAAACTTTCGGAATCAAAACAATAGATGTAAAGGTAATAAAACGAAGCAAATCTACCCCACAGAAAAAACTTAACACCCCATTATATACATCCTAGGCCAGAACATCCCAACAAAAGTAAAAAAACTTACCCATTGTATACTGTGGAGCTTTTTACAAAGAATTTCCCATAGTATATGTGAATAATCCAAGTCCATTGAGGCAAACATGAAGGAAGTGTAGATATACTATTTGTTGTTCAATTTGAAGCTTTTACAAGTCAATCAATTAAAATCTTAAAGCCTCTAGTAGAATTCCCACCACCTCTGGTTCACATTTTCACCTAAAAAGAAATCAAACCAAGATAGGTAAGCTAAGTAAAAATAAGTTTAAAAAACAAAAGAAGAGCCATTTCTCGAATGGATGCAATGAAGTAAGAAAATTCTTAGATAGTGACTACAAAATAAAAGAGAAATACAATAACAATGTTGCAGTTTTCTCCATTTCCGACTAATGATACGCAATTTAGAGTTGGTAAGAAAAATGATAATTTTGTTATTGGCCCTAGTTATTGTTTGAGACACCTCACAAATTACCTTACCATTGATCCACTGAAGAATGTTAATGATCCATGACAAAATCTACAAACGCACACCTACAACACTAGAACAACAAACTAATAACAAATCTAAAAAGAAAAGGGGGAAAAGAAGTGCCAAGAAAATAGGAGCTCCAACAGTTTGACATTTGCATCTTTGTTATCCTTGTTGAAGAAAAAAATATTCATTGCAAGGTTACCTTTTAAACTTCAACTCCTGCATCAAAATTTAAGAGTATGGTAGAAATTCAAGTGAGAATAAATTATCTGAAACTTGTTTGAAATGGCCTGAGATGCCACAAGTCAAGGAGATATTAGGAAAAAAAGACATAAAATATATTGCAAGATGTTAATTAATTAGGGCACAAAAGCTTACCTTTTGATAAATGGAAAGAAAAACAAAATTAACACAACTTGATAAAATTATCTAATGTGATGTGATTTTAAAAAAAAAATTGTACATAACTTAGATTAGAAGCACGTGAGAAGAATGACCAAGAGGACTACCAAAGAGGATGACCATGCTTTTGGAAACTCCTCTTCCCACTTTCTATGTAAGTCGAGAAGAGCTTTGAGAAGTTAATTTGAAGCATTATCCTTGAGTTTTATGCCTTTTATATAAACATACTTATTTGTTTTTGGTCCCAAAACACAAAAAGAAAGCTTTTCACATTATGCAAATCTCTTCTCGAGTTTTACTTTTGTTTTTCGGAGACGACAACTGTAGTATATCCTAATCTATCCTACACCAGGGGGAGGGGATGGACCTAAAGAGGTTCAAGAGTAATCCGCAGGGGACTGAATCACCACAGGACTAAATGAGTGTACTACGCACTCGCCTGGATATTTTAAAGGAAATACCCCACCGAGCCTTAAAGGGTTAATGGTGGCCACCAGCCCAAAGACTGGTGGTTTCTTCTCTAGTTTTACTCTTGAGTTAATTTGGAAGCATTACCCTTCAGCTTTTATTTTTTATGGGTTAAAAACAAAAAAGCCCCTATGGTATGTCTAGTACACAGAAAAGTTCCCTGTGGTTTTAAAACATACAAAACGACACCTCATGTTTTGAACTAAATTATAAACTAACAGAATTTGTTAAATTTAACGGAATCTGGTAAATTTAACGGTAAACTTAACGGAATCTTATAAATTTAACAGTAAACTTAACAAAATTCGGTAAGTTTAACGACTGAGACTGTCATTTTTGTTAAGTTTAACGGATTCTGTTAGTTTACAGTTTAGTTCAAAATATGAGGTATGTGACGCCCCGAAAAAAAATGAGTTTGAGAACCCGGAAATTTTCTAATTTTCTAGGGTTTATTTTTTTAACGCCCGCCTTTTCTACATTTACTTTATTAGAAAAATTTCCCAAATAAAGTTTATGAGCAAAGATAGTTTTAAAATGATTTTTCTGGTATCGGTTAGTTTTAAGAAAAACGGCGCGAACCGGCGGGTCCCGCGCACTACCGGTTGAACGCACTACTTGATCACCACTTTCTTGTCATACAAGTTTATCACTAATGGAGCAAAATATCCCCCCCTCATACTTATCCACATGGCTGAAATTTGTGGCCAAAAATGTAAGGGAGAGAGAGAAAAATTTGTATGGTTTTGGTGGTGACAAGTGTCACCACCCTATGGCTCTTTGATTAATTTTTTTTTCCTTGTTCTTTTATCCTTCATTTTAGCTCATTTTTCTTCATTTCTTTCTGTTTTGGTCGAGCTCAAGAGAGAGAGAAAGGGAGAGCAAGAAAAACAACCATTTCATCTTGAGTTTGCACCAACCAAGTGAGGAAATCAAATTCTAAACCGATTAAAGAGTGAGTTGTGATCTTGGGAAGCTAGGGGAACTAAAAATTTCCAAAGGAGGTGAAGTATCACTCTTCCAAGCTTTGTTTTGAGGTATGAAATCTGATCATGGTCTTTGATCTTGTGAATCTTGTGTAAATTAGCTTGGCAACTCAAATTTGGTGGTGAATCATGGATGCAATCATGTTTTGGGGGTTTTTTCCTTGTGGTATTATGAACTAGGGTTTGCTGATTTCTGCCCAAACTTGCTATATGGTTACTATATGTTGAATATAAGATTATACAAGGGGCTTTGGTAGTGATTGGAACAAGGAATTGAAGAAAGTTCAATTGAAACCAAAAGATTTCAGATTTCTGGAAATTTTCATCCTATTCTGCCCGTTTTTGTTGCACCATGTTAAAGGCCGAATTGGCCTTGGCTTAAAACATGAAAGTTGTAGGGAATGACATTTTAGAGGTGCTTGTAAAATTTCAGGTCAATCGGAGCAGTGTATCTTGTGAAAAGACGGAATTACCCTTGCTGTCCTGGTTTACCCAGAATTGGAGAATTGTGACTGTAATTGGTGAATTTGGTCTCGAATGCTTCCGAATTAGTTGTTTAGGTCTTCTGATGAAATGTAACCCTGTTTCTAAGCTTTCGGGTGGCTTTGGAATTTCTGGATTTGGACTTGTGTAGGCTGAGTTATGATGTTTATGCCGGAATGCGTTTTGTAAACCTGTTTTTGTGATTCTGGTGTGGTATCTTGCATTTTTGACCTGGTTACACTCGAAACTGGGTTGAGTGACCTTCTACAATATTGTAACCCTATCTCTTAGCTTCGAAACAGTGGGTTTTGCACCTTCATCCGACAATCATAGCGCCTTTGGTACCATTACCACAAAATGACGTCAAAACTGTTTTTCTGGTTTTGAGCTTAAGTTTCATTTCCGGATTTTTTTCCCCCTAGCTTGACTTGCACTAGTACTACTTGGAGCTTGCTGAATGACTATGGATGAACTTGTTGTTGTGTGTGTACCTTTGGGACTAGCTGAGGAAATAATGAAGCCATGATGGCTGGAAAAGTTAGCAAATGTAGGGGAAGTGCTGTCCGAACTTTTAAAGGATTTGTTTGCATTGAGTTTGTGATCTAAGACTTGGGTTTGAGCAAGGCAATGATACATGATGGATGATTTCTGAGCCATTGAGGTGAGTGACCTCAAACTATTTCTGAAGTTCTTTATGAACCGTTTCCTGCATTATTTACTTTTAAACTGTTTCCAAAAGTTACTTTTGAACTGTTTTCTTGCATATCATGCGTACTTGCATATGAGTGTCCCTTGGTTGCTGTAATTCTTGACTTATTGGCTTGTCATTATTAATTGAAAATGTGTTAAGTACTTTCGATGATTGTTAAAACGAGTTTTCTAGGCGAGTGTGTACTTTATCGCACTCGACCTAAATAAATATGAATTTTCAATGATTAATGATTAAATGCTAGTTGCGCATGATGTAAGCCTTTTGGCTGAACTGGCCACTGCCCTTCGTTACCGATCGACTCGAGCCAGAAGCGGACTCGGTCGGGCGATATGGTGACCCTGGGTGAATTTGGTATACTCGAGTATTACCTTGTAGTCCGGCTACGTCCGGATGGGTGGAGTCCGGCCAACGTCGGATGGGTGGAGTCCGGTCAACGTCCGGAAAAGGGGATGAACGAATAAAAAGATGAACGAGGATTTATTTATAAAAATGAAATTTTCAAATAATTGGAGGAATAAGGGGAAATGTCAGGGGAACGAACAAATGAATAGCTCCATGTGAGCGGTATCCTTTTTAATGAATATGTTACTATCGCTTTCCATTGTAATTGTTTCTTGAATTATTGATTATTGATGGTTAATGTGTTGGCTTTGTTATGAAATTTCATGTTCGGAACCTTATTGAGATTTTAGCTCATTGAGCTTTGTGGAATTACCATGTGGTGTCATTTTCTGCTTTTGTTTTACTCTCACTGTGCAAATGTTGACCTGTAACAAAATTACATTTTTACCCCCGATTACTTATTGAACTTCTAAAACATTACAATGATTTCACTGGCTCACGAGAGCAAAAATACGTACATCTGATTTCTGAACCATGACATCAATGAAATGAATTTTTGTGAAAACTATTTGATTACTGATTTTACTGGTTACTCACTGGGCTTTTAGCTCACCCCAAAAATGTTTTATTCCCCCCCACAGGGCTCAAGGCGAAGGAAGGGCTTGTTGTGCTTATTCACGTGACTGGATGGCTTATATCGTTTACAGTTTAAGTTTAGATCTATTTTATGTACGAGTTGGTCTTGTATAAATATTTGAAATTGATATGGATGTAAGTATACATTCCACGATTGGAATCAGTTTCCGCTGCATTTGTGACATGTAATTATTGGAGACTTGGATGTATGTTTGTGG